CTCATTTAACACTCTCTAAATGGTCTCAGTGCCACTAGATGGGACAGAACACCACACCCAGAAGGTGTGTGGGTTACATTTACCCTTACAATTCTGTAAGGGGCTATCGAATAGAGTTGTACAAACCTTAGGGCCATATGAGGGAACATTTTCAAATACATCTAAGTGACTTAGACACCTCAGTCCCAGGGACTTTCAGTGAGGGTCCTAAGTCACTTAGGTTCTTCTGAAAATTTCACCCTTATAACCACATGCGCATATGCCATTGGCATCAGCAGCAGTGTCACACGCCCATTGCGGGCAGGGTGCCCGGTGGCTCTGAACACGTGTTGTACCATGTAGAACTCGTCTGTGAAACTGATTGCACTGAAGCCATTTCTCAGCACAAAAACTGTAAATATTTGGTCACTACCTGTTAAGATACCCTTGTAAGTACTTCTGAAAACAGGGTTAGAAATATAGAGTAGATACATAAGCAGGTTACAGACAAGAATAACAGATTACAGATAGTTGTAAGCCATGGTCATAAGCAACCTAGTGAAGTCCAACTCTGAGAATGGATTAGCCATTCATTAAACTGTTGAACATTTATTAACCTTTTATAAACCCTTTGTAAAGTGTAACCGAATATGGACCATTGTGAATGAGCTGAAGTGAGGCGGGGGAGTTTGTAGCAGCAGCAAAGTTGCGGCTAGTTTTGAAAAATGTTTTTTGAGCTACCAACCCTGGTGTGGCCCCCCAGTACCCATGTGAGTAGGGTTGGGCTAGTGGGGTTGGGCCTTTGTCTGTTCCTAGTCCTCATTTTCTGTTTTAAAGTGACCATTTAATTGGCTGCTGTTCGTTGTTTCTTAACTGCTCCAAGCACGGTCAGGGCATTCCCTGCCCAAAAGCTCCTGCAGTGGAAATGCTGGGCTAACTCCTTTCTAATGCCGCTGCTGTTCGGTGGGTCTTTCTGGGTTGGCATCTCCAACCTGAATGATGTTTTGGATCAGGGAGGTGCAGAATTTGCACTACAGACCTCACCAGATCAGATACTTTCAGAGCTGTTATGGTCTGTTGTGTCAAGGCTCACACATGCTCAGGACAGCTTTTTTAAAGCCATTGTATGGGTGGATTTGCTGCTTTAGCTGTGCCTGTATTTGATTGTTACAGGTTTTAGAACAGTAAAGCCTTTGAGAAGAGTTGTTTGTGCTCTTTTCAGTGCAGCAGTCTGTGGTCTCTGTGGGCTATATAATTCTTGGTGGAACATAAAATTTAGTAGAAGTTATGGGGGAATGGCAGCTCCTGCTTTATTTATAGACTTTTTAATGCTTCAGTTTTCTATAATAAGACTGTGTTTAAGGCAGGTTATTCACTTTACTGGAATTGTAAAGACATTTCTTATTACCCTGAATCAAAGAGCTGGCATACTCTCTGCAGCTGATTATGGCCAAATTCCATCCTTGGATGCATGCGCATAATTCCTGCTGACAAATCTCATAGCTGAAGGCAGAATTTGGCCCGGAGATGTGGATTGTGGTCTTGCTACACCCCAGTCACTCTGTTGCCTTCAGTGGAATAATAGAAATCCACGTATGGTCTTAGGAATTTAGCAGGAAGAGTCTGGGCTGGAATTTAATTTTGATTGACAAATCATGTCTTACTTTTCAAAAGATAATGATGTCTGTTTGCAGTAGGATGTTCCCTTTTAATGTGCTGCAGGGAGCTGCTAGAATCGCTTTGCTGTATTTCCATGCTAATCAGATTAGTTCATAAAGCATTATACTTCAGAAAGCCTCAACTATTCTAGATGGAACGAATGTGGACTTTGACGTGCAAAGAGAAAGCTTCCAGAGTACAAAGTTTGAAGTGCCTCTATCAGCAATTTGGTTATTACTTAAATATATTTGGTAGGTTTGGTATCAAAGAAGCTTCTCTTTAATATACTCCAGTGCTTAATTTATAATTTTAAGACAATTTTGAGCAATTACATTGCTCTCCGTTCCTCTACTCGCTTTTCTGACCTGAAGCAACGAAGCAGTGTCTGTCTATTTGTGGGGAGCGGTTTCAATTAATTAAGTACAGTTTTTAATAGGTCCCAAACTCTAAAATCCATGCAATGGATATTTTTCAGAATGGTTGTGATATTGTTTGAATTTGTTGGTAACACTTAGGTGGGGTCGATTTTAATGCGAAAGATCTGGGTCCTTCTTTTAGGCCTTTCTCCAGCAACATGCTAAACCAAACATGTAGCTACCACCCCTTAAGGTAGCAGTTCCCTGTGGCATTTTGTGAGCTGGAACCATGCTAAAGTATCCCCGCTGAGCGCAACTCCCCTGGGGTAGGGAAGAAAAGAGATCTCATGTCTGTACACACGTGACCAGCCAGAGGCAGCCTCATCTGTTACTTCCTGTCCGAGACATGTCACCTCCTGTACACGTCTGTACACACGTGACCAGCCAGAGGCAGCCTCGTCTGTTACTTCCTGTCCGAGACACGTCACCTCCTGTACACGTCTGTACACACGTGACCAGCCAGAGGCAGCCTCGTCTGTTACTTCCTGTCTGAGACATGTCACCTCCTGTACATGTCTGTACACATGTGACCAGCCAGAAGCAGCCTCGTCTGTTACTTCCTGTCCGAGACACGTCACCTCCTGTACACGTCTGTACACACGTGACCAGCTAGAGCCAGCCTCGTCTGTTACTTCCTGTCCGAGACACGTCACCTCCTGTACACGTCTGTACACACGTGACCAGCCAGAGGCAGCCTCGTCTGTTACTTCCTCCTTGAAAGGCACCTGTCCGAGACACGTCTCTTCCTGTTTACCTCTCTTCAGTAGACATCTCACTCCGTACCCCTGAGCCGTATGCACATTTTCCAGCTATCATGACGACCAGTGGGCTACTGGCTCTGGGCAGAGACCTCACATGCCACCCTTTAGTGAGTTACTATGCATCTGTCTGACCCAAGGGATCCCTGTAAAACTGTATGTGCCCCCTGTGCCCTCTGCCAGTTGACACCTAGAGGCTCCCGGGTCCCACTGTCCTGGCCCCATCTCCACTCTGTAGTCAGGACCATGCTCAACACTTACAAAACACCTTCATCGAAGTCTCTAAAGATGCTCTCACCTGCCACCTCCTCTCCCACTGGAAGGGACCCAGCAGGAAGAGCTGCAGGAAGGGGGCAGGGAGTAGGCCGAGGCCCTGAGTAGCTGGGAGGGGGAGCTGTCAGGAAACGTGGCGGTCTCCTAGCCACCCTGCTCCAAGGACCCATCTTTAAAAAGGGGAAGGAGGAAGATCCGTGGAACTACAGGCTAGTCAGCCTCACCTGGAAAAATCATGGAGCAGGTCCTTAAGGAATCAATTCTGAAGCATTTAGAGGAGAGGAAAGTGATCAGGAACTGTCAGCATGGATTCACCAAGGGCAAGTCATGCCTGACAAACCTAATTGCCTTCTATGATGAGATAACTGGCTCTGTGGATGAGGGGAAAGCAGTGGATGTGTTATTCCTTGACTTTAGCAAAGCTTTTGATATGGTCTCCCACAGTATTTTTGCCAGCAAGTTAAAGAAGTATGGGCTGGATGAATGGACTATAAGGTGGGTAGAAAGCTGGCTAGATCGTCGGGCTCAATGGATAGTGATCAATGGCTCCATGTCTAGTTGGCGGCCGGTATCAAGTGGAGTGCCCCAAGAGTTGGTCTCGGGGCCAGTTTTGTTCAATATCTTCATTAATGATCTGGAGGATGGTGTGGATTGCGCCCTCAGCAAGAGGGTAGGGATAGGATACAGAAAGACCTAGACAAATTAGAGGATTGGGCCAAAAGAAATCTGATGAGGTTCAACAAGGACAAGTGCAGAGTCCTGCACTTAGGACGGAAGAATCCCATGCACCGCTACAGACTAGGGACCGAGTGGCTCGGCAGCAGTTCTGCAGAAAAGGACCTAGGGGTTACAGTGGACGAGAAGCTGGACATGAGTCAACAGTGTGCCCTTGTTGCCAAGAAGGCCAATGGCATTTTGGGCTGTATAAGTAGGGGCATTGCCAGCAGATCGAGGGACGTGATCGTTCCCCTCTATTTGACATTGGTGAGGCCTCATCTGGAGTACTGTGTCCAGTTTTGGGCCCCCACACTACAGGAAAGATGTGGAAAAATTGGAAAGAGTCCAGCGGAGGGCAACAAAAATTATTAGGGGGCTGGAGCAAATGACTTATGAGGAGAGGCTGAGGGAACTGGGATGGTTTAGTCTGCGGAAGAGAAGAATGAGGGGGGATTTGATAGCTGCTTTCAACTCCCTGAAAGGGGGTTCCAAAGAGGATGGATCTAGACTGTTCTCAGTGGTAGTAGATGACAGAACAAGGAGCAATGGTCTCAAGTTGCAGTGGGTGAGGTTTAGGTTGGATATTAGGAAAAACTTTTTCACTAGGAGGGTGGTGAAGCACTGGAATGGGTTACCTAGGGAGGTGGAGGAATCTCCTTCCTTAGAGGTTTTGAAGGTCAGGCTTGACAAAGCCCTGGCTGGGATGATTTAGTTGGGGTTGGTCCTGCTTTGAGCAGGGGGTTGGGCTAGATGACCTCTTGAGGTCCCTTCCAACCCTGATAGTCTGTGATTCTGTGACCTTTCAGGGGTGCTGAGCGAGGGCAGATGCGCGACTGTCTCTCTGGAGCAGATACACTGGCAGGGATGCTGCCAGCCGCTGGGAGCATCCCCTTCATCTCTGGAGAACCAGCCCAGGCAAACGGAGGCCAGGCTGGCGTCCTTAGTGCTCAAGTCCCTTTTGCTCAAATGTCAGGAGGCCTGCCTCATCTCCCTCCTCATCCCTGGTGCTTCCTGCTGTCTCCTCTGGGTTCCTGGTCAGCATGCCTCCCGTCTCCCTCCGCAAATAAAAAGCGCCCCTCGGAGTGCCCCCCTGCAGTCTGCTCCCTGACGGGGACACGTGGGCAATGTGCCTTTAAGAATAGCAGCTGAGCCGTCGGAGCCCCCTCCCCCCTGTTAATTGTAACATTTTTCTCAGCCATGCTTTTCAGTCACATTTGCAGGCTGAGAGAGGGAGCCGCTCCTGCGCCTGGCTGGGTTTGAATGTGTTGTGCTGGCTGGCAGGCAGACCGGCTGGAGGGGATGAGGATGCTTTCGGCGGGGGCATGAGGACAGGATGGGGAGCTCGGTGGCGAGCCAGCTAGAGGAGAAGCATTTGTGCAAGGAGCCGGAGCCCAGTCAGTTGAAGCTCCAGTGATCCAAGGAAAGACTCGTCCAGTCTAATGTCTGACTCTGCCCGCTGCCCGGGCGCTGACATGTGGGGGTGACACGCCAGGCTGGGCACCCCCGCCCCACCGCATGCAGGGGGCACCGGAGGGATCTGTGAGCACTGCTATTCCCAGCCTCTCGTCGATTGCTCCCTGGGTCCCGCGTATCCTGCCCCGAGGACACAGCGCTGCCCGTGGTGCGGGGCTGCCTGCCTGGCCAGGTAAGAAGTGGCTGCGATTAACTTGAGGCTTGTGCTACTTTGTGGATCACGCCTGATGCTTCTCCACTCAGGCTCCTCCATCCCGCCCCAGAGGAGTCTAGTGCCACTTGCTGCTCAGCGCCAAAGTGGGAGAGCGGCAGCTGCCAGGGCACAGGCCTCCAAAGGGTTAAGAGACTCTGTCCCTACTCCCGGGGTGTGAGTGAGAATTAGTCTGCAGAGGTACATGTGCAGCAGTCTCCTCGGCTGCGGCTGCAGTGTGGTGTGTGTGAAGAGCAGCTCTGCTTGCAGAAGATGCTCGCTTGGTGTGTCCGAAGCCCTGTGCATGGCAGCAGAGCCCTGGCCGTGCCAGCTGGGCTCGCTGTCTGAGGGGATTCCAGTCACCTGCCCACCCCAGCTTCTGAGAAGGTAGGTGCCATTCCCAGGGTAAGGGGCAGTGATCTTTGCTCAGTGCAGGCAGCGTCCCCCCGCACAGGGTAACGCACCTCCATAGATGTGGGAGAGGAGAGAGAAGGGTTTGGGGTTGTCGTCTAAACCTGGGAAGGGAGGGCTGGCAGTGTGGGTGGGGGGAGAGAGCCAGCACACCGAACAGCCCACCTGAGTTGCAAGCAAAGTGGTTGCACAAAACGAGAGTAAACTCGCTGGGGTCCCTGCACTGAACCTTTGAGCTGTTCTTCCTTCCTGGGGTGACCTTTGGGAGGGGGCAGGGAGAGCTGTAAAAGGGCAAGGTCGTGCCTGGGGACTAGGAGCAGGGCATGGGGCATGTGCAGGGCCCGTTGCTTTGCTGTCCCAGGCCGTGGCAAGGATGAAGGGGACTGGTGGAGAGAGAAGCACAGAGGCAGGAGCAGTGTTGTTTTTGTGGTGTAAAATGAGATTTTTTTTAAAGGGTGCCTTGGCTGCTAGTGCTTCTTCAGGGCTCAGGGCATTCTTCGCTCCGAGGTGTCAGTTTCTTCTCTCAGAAGAAGATAAACCTCTTTTAGACGGGCCTCTGGGCACAGGGGCTTTTATTGTCAGCTGTCTGTTCACCGCTGCTAACTGCTCTCCCACCCGGAACCTGTGGCTGAATTTTTGTTGCATTAACACCCCAGAGAGAGAAGCCACTTTCATCACATTTCCTGAGAGAGACTTTTTAGAAAGGTGCCGTCTTGGAAAGTGTCTAATGAAGTCAGTGACAATTGGTGCCATTCCTCCTTTCTCACCAGCTGCTGACGCACTTCAGGTTTGCCCAGAGGCACAAGTGAGGGGTTTAGTCTTCAAGGACTCAGCTGAATGGGAAGCCTTCTGGCTGAGTTTTCAAGCAAGTTCTCCCCCAGAAAAGCTGGGCTTTAGGATCTGATAGTGCGGGGAGGCTAGTTCCTATGACTGACCCATGTGCCCATGTTAATTAGCCTGAGAACACGCAGACACAGACCCTGCCGAGGAGAATTGGTCATGCATGTACGGGACGCAATATCTGGGTTTTAAGCATGGATTGGAAACGGAAGTAGGCAGTGTATGATTATGTACTCCAAGCACACAGGGAGAATTCTGCAGGTTGCTGGCACTGCAGTTATCTTATGATGAGCAAATGCAACAGTGTCATTGGTGAGTAATATTTTCAGCATGTTTAATGTGGCAGAGTGAGTGTTTTTTGTAACAGCGCCCTTAAGGAACACGAGCAGAAGTCTGACCTTCACCGCAATCTTTTTATGTGCTTTTGTGTGGTTAGGCTTCCTGACAGGAATGACTTCTTGCTTTAAACAGTTTGGACAGATCGCGTCTTCCTTCCTGAACTTCCCCAGCATCAGTGCGCAGTGCTTGAGTAAGTACTTGTGTACCTGCTTGGGACGGCTAGAAAGAGCTCATTAGTGACTAGGAGCAATTCTGCCCCAGCAAATGTAGGGAAGTAATATGGTTCTTTTGTGTGGGAGTGGAAGAAGATGTAGGGAGCTCACACAGAGGTCATGCACCCCAGAACTCTGCTCTGCAAGGTCTCTCTGCTCTTTGTAACACAGGGTGAGGGGAGTTTTAGGGTCTGGAGTGGAGGATCAGGAGCGGGACAGGTAGATCTGCTGCTGTGTGAACCTGTCAGCCACTAGAGGAGTGATGCAGAAGCTGTGAGCAATGCTGCAGTGATGGCTATGAAGCAGCAACTCTGCTGGTTTGTGGCTTGGGAGAGAAGATGCCCAGTAACTCAAACAACGTGCTTGGGATGGGATTTGTCCCATAGCCAGCAGGTAGTTATCTGACATTCTGCAGAAAAGGACCTAGGAGTTACAGTGGACGAGAAGCTGGAAATGAGTCAACAGTGTGCCCTTGTTGCCAAGATGGCTAACGGCATTTTGGGCTGTATAAGTAGGGGCATTGCCAACAGATCGAGAGACGTGATCATTCCCCTCTATTCGACATTGGTGAGGCCTCATCTGGAGTACTGTGTCCAGTTTTGGGCCCCACACTGCAAGAAGGATGTGGAAAAACTGGAAAGTGTCCAGCAGAGGGCAACAAACATTATTAGGGGGCTGGGGCACATGATTTATGAGGAGAGGCTGAGGGAACTGGGATTGTTTAGCCTGCGGAAGAGAAGAATGAGGCGGGGATTTGATAGCTGCTTTCAACTCCCTGAAAGGGGGTTCCAAAGAGGCTGGATCTAGATTGTTCTCAGTGGTAGCAGATGACAGAACAAGGAGTAATGGTCTCAAGTTGCAGTGGGGGAGGTTTAGGTTGGATATTAGGAAAAAAAAATTTCACTAGGAGGGTGGTGAAACACTGGAATGCGTTACCTAGGGAGGTGGGGGAATCTCCTTCCTTAGAGGTTTTAAAGGCCTGGCTTGACAAAGCCCTGGCTGGGATGATTTAGTTGGGAATCGGTCCTGCTTTGATCAGGGGGATGGACTAGATGACCTCCTGAGGTCCCTTCCAACCCTCATATTCTATGCTTCTATGATGACATAGGGCCTGATTCTCCTCTCATTGATGCTGGTGTAAGTCAGGAGGCACTATACTGAAAGCACTATACATACCAGAGTTACAGCAATGTAAAACAGGTGTAAATGAGACCAGAAGCTAGACCGGTCTCTAAAACATCATGAGCATTAAATAATCAAATTACCATTGTAATTGGATGCAGACAACACTGGAAAGATTATATGGTAGTCGTCACATTTACTGCTTATTACATGTAGACAGAATGGCAATTAGAGCTGGCTGAATTCTGCAAAATGTTCCTCACAAACATGCGTTTGAAATTCTAAACAAATTTGGTTCAACTGGCAGCTCTTCTGTGTTACTCTATGCCAGTATTTACTGCTGAGAATGTTTGTCAAAACAGCCAGTTTTTAAGCACATGTTGGAGAATTGTCACAAGCAATGAATTTTGAATTTTCCAGTGTGGATATTTGCACTGCAATCCTGATTCTATGTGCTATGCTCATCCAATCAGGGAACAGAAACTAGCTATATGATCTAGAGCCATCATATCTAAAAGAGATTGCTTTTTGAATGCCAAGTTCTTGCACCAAACTTCTCATGAGTGGTCTATAGACCAAGAATTATCTGCAGAAATCACTTGGCAAATCATTTATTGAATAATGACTAAATCACGATCTGTTAAACAGATAATTAACAAATGCCAAAAGATTAATTTAATCTGTCAAAAAATTGCTATGGAATATTCCCCTAGTTCCCATGGTGAAATAAGTAGAAGATAATAATTATGTGATTGCAGTGTTTCAAAGGCAGCTCAATTCTGATTTGAATGCTTCTGCTACACCAGCCACAGGTGACCCAGAGGTCTGTTGTCCAGAAGCTGCTGAACCAAAGATAAAATATACCTTTCTGGTGATAGGTGAGAGGTCTTTGAATGAGTGTAATAGTGCAATTGAAATATACCCGGCTTTGTGCAGTTTGTAAAATGTGCACACACTAGGAGATAGAGTCAGACTCCTCTTAGTGATAGGGGATTAGTGTATATTATGCAAGGTGTTCTCATTTTACTGCATTCAGAGGATGATTGGAGATACCATTCTTGTTAGACAAAAAATGGAATCTGACGTTAGAGGTGAATTCAAAGAGCAATTTCCACTTAATATATATAGACATACAGCGGCAAATAGGAGGAAAGCTGCTTAAAGATTACTTTAATGATGAATCGTTATAGGGCTCTCACCAGGTTGAAAAGCAATAAAAGTCAAAATGAAGTGGTAGGATTTAAGTCAGATGGAAAATATATCGAAAAGCTCCTGTCTTATAGACACTCTACTTACACCACAGCAAAACAAAAGCATTGGGAGGTACAAGAGTATCATCAAGTGGCTCTTAACCTCAAAGATACGATGGCAGCTACTATCTATCATTTCTTCTTCCAGAAGGTTATTACCTTGCTTTGTCAGTAATTCTTAGTTTAAAGAAAACAATCAATCGATCCCAACAGATATGTCTCCTCTTTCAGCAGCAAATACTGTGTCATGTTCCTTTCCCCCTGCATGCTGCCAGTTTTATTACTTATTTTAATTAAATGCTGTGCTTTCCCAAAGTCCGATTATTTTGAACTATCATTCCAAACACACAGCTGATGCCAGCTGTATAACTGGGAGTCGTTAACTGGTCATGGACCCATAGCTTTGCTGTAAAGTTGCAGTGGCATAAGTCCACATATCAGGCTACCTTTCTTCAGATGACATGGATTGTAATTGGTTTACTGTTGCTTAATGAAGGATGAATAGAAATGATGTGGTTCTCAGCTGTTGGGTCCCATGTTCTGTCCTCAGGTCAACACGCACTAGACAAATGACATTGTCTTTCATGTCCATTAAGTACAATCTTCTCTTCGTAAGTATTCTCTCAAATCTACAGTTTCTGCACAGAGGGTAAAGGGGAAATGTAGCAGAGAGAAGCTGTCGTGCATTGAAATCGCCATTTATTTGTTATTCATGCAGTGTGAACGGAATGGATTTAGAATGTAGTTTATTTTATCTTCTAAAATGTTTCCACTTGAGGGCTACGGTCTGAGATTTCAGGCTGCGTAACGGGCATTTCACTTCCTTGTCTAGCCTGGTATCAAATGAACATTCCATTAGCACTTGACTCTCTCGGGGAATATCACAGGTGTTACAGGATTGGGTAACCCAGTTCCTGCGGGCCAATTTGTTACAGCTCTTAGGTGGCTGAAGCCTCAGCTGGTGTCCCACCTCCATCAGTGCTGTCATGAAAACCTGACTGCCTGTTCCATGGCAGTGACATCTGAAAGTACGGCCCTTTTGATTGTAGATCTAATTACATGGTATTGAAGGGCAGAAGGTGCTTTGCAGCTAAGGCTGTTCATTAGGCCATGACCCTGCAACAAGCTGAGTGCTTCCTGGGTGGGGCTGGGAATTCAGGGACTCAGCATCTTGCAGGATCAGGCTCTTCGAGTTACACACTCTTTCAGATCT